GTAAGTCACCAAGAGCAGCAAAGTGCAAAGATCCCCTTTGTGAACTGATGCAACAAAGTAACAAAGATACCAGCTCCTTTATTTTAGGACGGAAGATGCTACAGTTTAGGAGCAGGAGGTAAGGAAAGCAACAACCGAATGTGCACTAACTTCCTGGAGCTAACAAAGAGTTATTTCTTCTCAGAAGAATAGGACAAATCTTTTAAAGCACATATGAGAGCTTGTTATATCGAACGAAAATGTGTTCTTTGTAAACTGGGATGGTTTTTTGGACATTTTAAATGATTATTCACTGTTTGTTCTGTTTTAGCTTTCCTGAAAGTAATGGAAAGAGAAAGCACTGTTATCCTAAGAGCACCCATGAAAAATTAGTTTGTCTTCATGAGCTGGGGCTTACAGAAAGATGATATTGAAACTATATAACAAAAGGATGACATGGATACTAACTAATCAGAAGGAACTGTGGGTATAAACTATTGACCATTCCTAAGTTTCTACCGGGAGCTAGAAAAAATGGATTGTGTGTGGAAAACTCATTGAGAAACATGAAATAGAGAGCAAATTAAAAAGATCCCTACCATTCTGAAGCACACTTTCTAGTTGGGAAAGAGATGTTCAGCATAAAACAAACAGAATCATTTCAGAAAATTACTTTAAAATATTCTAGTTAAGCCAGTCAACTAGATAGAGTGATGAAGTAGATAGGTGATACGTAAGAGTATTGTAAATAGAGTGCACAGGAAATTTTGTTAGAGATCTGATACTTAAGGAATAAATGATGAGGAGCAGCCACTGGGGCAGTTCCAGAAAGTGCATCTGGACAGAGGGAATAACATCACATTAAACCCAAGGGGAGAAGAAGCTTGGAGGTTTGTGTGAAAGACTAAGAAGGTCAGTGTAGCAGAAATGGAGCTGGTGGGAGTCAGAGAGTATAATCAGAGTATGAATCAGAGAGTAACACCATAAGATAAGGTCATAGGGATAAATAGTGATCAGATCTTTCCTTTTGGAGGGTTTTAAGCAAATAACAGAAGTGATTGGATTGACAATTGACTGCTACACAGAATGTGGACTCAAGGAAGAAAGTTAATATGCAGTTGAGAGGCCGGCGCCGCGGCTCACTAGGCTAATCCTGCGCTTTGCGGCGCCTGCACACCGGGTTTTCTAGTCCCGGGCGGGGCACCGGATTCTGTCCCGGTTGCCCCTCTTCCAGGCCAGCTCTATGCTTTGTGTCCAGGGAGTGCAGTGGAGGATGGCCCAAGTACTTGGGCCCTGCACCCCATGGGAGACCAGGATAAGTACCTGGCTCCTGCCATCGGATCAGCGCGGTGCGCCGGCCGCAGCGCGCTGGCCGCGGCGGCCATTGAAGGGTGAACCAACGGCAAAAGGAAGACCTTTCTCTCTGTCTCTCTCTCTCACTGTCCACTCTGCCTGTGGAAAAAAAAAAATATGCAGTTGAGAGACTTGTTAGTATCTTAGATGGGGGTGGTTATGATGCAGAATGTATGAATGTATGAAAGGTCTTGGAAAATGCATATCTGTCGCTCCCCCTCTTCGTGGAGGAACGACACTAAACCCTGCCTAGGCTTCCTTATCCGAGTCACGGCACCATTATGTCGCTCCCGTCTTCGTGGAGGAACGACACAGGACCCTGCGCTGTTCTTTTGTCTGCTCGGCCCTCCCCGGCTTTGCTGCTGGTTCTTCCCGGGTTGGCTACCGACCCTTCCACCTCCGTGGAAGGGCAGTTCCCCCTGCCACTTTCCCCACTTCCGCGGGGGAGCGGCACACCGCCGGCCGGCTCTCTCGGGGGCTGCACAGGTGTTCCTTCAGATAGATGTTCCTGGTGCATGTTGTCTCTCTCCTCCTTTATAGTCCTCTTCCGCCAATCCCAACTCTGCTACCCACACGCCGAGTATGCTGCTCTCCTCCAATCAGGAGCAGGTCCTGCTGCTTATTGGTTGAATTGGAGGCAGCTGTGTAGAAGCTGTTACCTCCTCTCCCAGCGCCATATTGTGGGAGAGCAGATGCATAGAATAAGTCTTAATTCCAGTAACTTAGTCTAGTCCGAGTTGCTCCCCACACATATCATGAAAAATTTTTGTATGAATTTAAAATTTTGCACCAAATAAACATACCTTCAAATTCCATTTTTCCTTACATAGCTATCTAGCTTTCTAGTCTATAATACTTTTCTCATATGAGCCAACAATCAATGCATACTAAGCTATTTAAATAAAACATTTGAAATCTCTAATTAGTCGGTGAAGTTATCATGGTCTTCCCTATGCTGAGATTTCCCCTTCTGGACCAAAACTTTGGAGGTTCAGTGTTTTATTTTTATAAGGGATATTGTTCCCTTTTATGAGTTCATTTTAAATATCTCATCTATAAACAACAGCAGACTTTTTAAGTATCATAAAAGAAAGTTGGTTTCTCTTAAATGTCTAATTGTTCATGTTGCTAAGAGAAGATGAAATTATGTTTTATCTAAGAAAATGAAATTCTTTATTATTTGTTCCTATTAATGTTTCTAACTGGCTTCCTACTGTAGCCCAGTGAGAAAGTTAAAAGTTCTTTGTGTAACATTCATCTAGGTGCTTATAAATGAGAAGCCCTTTATACTTTAAAAGCTTAATAAAAAATTTACTATATATCTATGGAAGAAAAAAGTATAATCACAGAACTTAGCAGGTATAGGTATCAGATATAAATAACTAACACCTAAGAGAATGTCCTCATAGAACGATCTACCAATATTCTGCTTTATGCCTTTCCTGATGTTGTTAACTCCCCCTTTTGGACACTGTTCCGTTTTTTCCCCAAGGTAAGCATTATACAAGCCATTAGCAAAAAATTACTGCACAATTTCCACTTAGGAAATAGCTCTGATGGTCCTAGCTTTGATATAGGATAGTTATATCACATAGGCCCCATCACTTCACTCTCTGAGAACAAATTTTCTAATTGTTAAAATGGAGAGATTGGACTAGATAATCCTAAAATTATTTCTACAACACATGATCAATATAATCCATTATTTGCCTTAGTTACATTTTTGTGTTGATAATGTCCAAATCTATATTTCACATTGAGGTACCTCTGGTGAGGTCCATTTCCATGTAGAAAACTTCTTGGACATCTCTATCTGTATATTATACCAGCACCCTAAACATGACTCACTGACTATGCCCAACAACTTGTACCATTTCCTGCATAATTTCCACTCACTAAGCATTTCTTTTCCTTTGAGTCTTCTATACTACATACCTTGCAATAAACATCTACTTATCTGCCAAGAGTTCAATAAAAAATCAACTTCCCATGTTAAGTTTTTCAGAGGCACTTTATTTTCAGGTTTACTTGTCTACTGCTCTCAATGGTAATCTGATTAGCTGTATCAGAGCAATTTTTGAATTTTTTGCATCTGTTAATTTATATGTTTACACTTTGAACTCCTTGAGGATGGGGGTCCTTTCAAGCTTCCTCATGATGCTTTCATTTTAGAAAACATTACATACTATGTGGTGAAAAATATTACATAAGTAAAAAGCAAAAATTGTGTGATCTGAGAGCATTGCTTGGGTCATTATCTTACTTGGCACATGTCTTCCCACCAACAGTTTCATCAAGGCCTGGAGAACCCACTGATTTGGTCCTACCTCATCTTTTTACTTGATTATGAAGACTCCTTTACATGCCAACCTTCATTGTTTCCAAACATTTTTCTGCTGAGGGAATTCAGTGTCCTTTTCTTGGAAGAATATTCTGTTTTGAATAGTATGGAGACTACATTTTCTGTTTCTTTACTGTCTTCCCTGTTGTTAAGATTAGAATAGTGACAGCTTGCCAATTTTAAGTGTATGTTCATTCTTTGAGCTCCTCAACTGACTCGGTACTCTTTTTGGAAATAGCTAAAATTTTTGTTAGCACATTTATATGTAACCAGTCTCATCAAGAACAATTGACAAATGCACTTCTAGCTCTCCAAAATGTTAATTAAATTTTGACTGGATACTTAGCTCTCACTCAGTATGTACACTTGGGTCAATAAACTGTCAGGCTTGAGTGGCTGAATATTTCTCAGCCTCATCTCAATACATTTCCGACTGCCTTGTCAGGCTGGGAGAAATTCACCAGGGAGATTTATCACAGCAGAGTCAAGAAGCCATCTATCTGCGACATGTAAAGATGGTAGAGTTGGCCTTCCTTTACATTATGTGTTCTAAGCTTACTGGTTCTGAGGTAATTAACCTGAAAGTCACATACAAAGGGGAGATAAATGTACCTTTTAAGAGATATTTCTCTTTGAGGCACATTGAGACCATAAATCCTTCCAGGCTTGTCAGAGGTAGCTTTCTCAGGACTGTTCTCTCCCTTCTCTCCTCAAGTGGATTTTACGTTGTCACTCCCATATGTTCTTCCCTCTGCCTTTCTTCCCGACATTTGCTGGTAGAATCAGCAACAACCCTTTGGAAACGAATTTATGTTTGGACTGATCACCAATATTGGTGACTAACTCAGCAGGTAAGACTGAACATAATACTTAGTTTAAACCAAATGAACATCAATAGTGATAGTCAATATCATTACTCCTTATTAATTGCTTAATTTAGTACCACTTGTAATTTCACTATTATTTCATTCAGGTAAGTGTGTAATCTAAGTATTCTCTACCATCCTTTTACAGATTAGGAAGGGAATGCTTGGAGAGGTTAAATAGGTCAGCTAAGATCACACAGTCAGTAGATAGAAGAGCTAAAATTTGAACTTCTGCCTGTATGCATTTGACTAGTACTTATAGTAAAATGTTAACACAGCTTTCTGTGTGTTTAATCAGAAAAGTTCTTGAGGAGAGCTGCTTGAGACAAATGATGACCTGCCCAGCAGGAATGTAGCCCTATTTCTGTTGTCACTTAGTTGGAAGAAGATTCAGAAGGTTGAGATGTTTAAACTGCAAATAATGAACTGAAGAGTCATATGGATGTTTCTTTGCCTTCTAGGAAGATTTCCAGCCTGCAGCAGCCTCAGAGACCAACTGGGAATCAGTCACAAGCTCTATCTCAGTAAGTAATTTATTATTCTGTAGCCAGTGAAAGAAACTGATAGAATGGCTAAGGTCAACCCCAGAAGGACTTGAGCTGCATTAAGGACCTTTGGCTCCCCAAAAGCCTGGTCTCAAGCAGGATGTATTCCTCCCTTTCATTAGGATTAAAATGGCTTACCTCTGACAACCTTTTTTCTTCTTGGAGACATTTCCAGGAATGTTCAGTATCTTATTGTAGAAACTCAGGAATAGACAACGACTTAAATATGTGTCAGCTTCAAACCAGAACATTTCGATAAAAAGACTGTCCAAACATATCAAGTGTATCAAAGAAAATCCATGGCCCAAGCTCAAGTGGGCAATTTCAGAATTGCTCTCTGAATATTCTAGGGGAAGCTGTTAACCTTTGAATTTTCAAGGGTCTTTTCAGAGTTGAAAAAAATCTCAGTGTTTACAGTAAGATAGATTAAATGCAAATCGGGCTTATACAGTATTCTATTTGACTTGGCTTGAAACAACTCGTTCTGAAGCTGTAATGCCTGGTGCCCCAAGTTTCTTCTCCAAATTTAGTCATTTCTCAGTATACCATCTCCTTATCTAGTTGGCACAGAAACAGCAGACCTTGTTTTCACCAATTCTCTGTGTAGTTCTTATGTAGCAATAAAATATGAGATATTAAATGCGCTTGTTCACAAAAAGTTCAGGAGATGGGAAAGCTGGTCCATGGTTCTCAAAGGGGTTTGTGTGGCTCAGTCAGAGTTGACTTTTTTTCCCCAAAAGTGACATGCTCTCTTTTGTTCTCTGGGGGATACTTTTTCATTTTCTTATATGTTGGAGTTTCCTCACCTATAGATTCTGGGGTCATTTCATTCACCAGGAGTGGCTACTGAACTAGAACAGTGAGCGATGAGTGAGGGCTGCAACATCATGTTAAGAGAGTTTTGCTTACTTTTGGCAGTGTAGCATGCGTGTCTGAGCCTGGCCTGGGGAAGGGCTTCCTTGTCAGTTGTGTGGGTATCTAAATAAAAGCATCCCGAGGAAGTGCTCAGGCTCAGTGCTGGGGGGACAGCCAGCCGCCTGATGATGACAACTCAGTGTAGACTTTTGCAACCTGGACTAGGTATTATGGGAGCTTCTGGCCCCTCAAGTGTCTTATGCATGATGGTTCAGGGCTGTATCATCATCCTTTCCCCAAATGCAGAATTACAAGCCTTAAAGGACCCTTTTGCTGATTAGAAGCAATCCAGGTCTTTTGAATAAAGGGATTGCCTGTTCCCTTCATGGGTTGGGGAGTGTCACATCATGGAAGGCCCACAGAATCAGTTGGTCTGGCCCTGCCAAGGCAGATGGCACTTGAACTTCAATAAATCTGTAGCAGACTAAATTTTAAGTTGATTATTTTGTATGGCCCACACATGATATTATAAATGTCCAAATGGCTCTTGGTAGAAAAAGGTTCTCCAACCCTGCGACTATCTGGAGAGATCTGGAGACTCTTCTGATTTGAGTTTTTAGTTGAGGTACTGCTTACCCTTCTAGCAAGCCTCCAACCTACTGTTTTTCTCACATTGGGTTTTTCAAGAACCTTCTAAGATCAAAGCCCATTGGGCCTAACATTAACTACCAAACAAGCTACACTTCATTTATTTGAAAGCACTTTACAGTTTTTGGAGCATTTTTTAATCACAAATTATTACCATTTAAAAGTAATTTAGTTAACTTTAGAATTGATTTTTTTATAAATGTGTAACAAAAGCCACGTGAGGTCAGATTTATAGTGTATCAGCAGGAGATACACCCAGTTCTTTCTTGTGAAAATATTTTTCAATTGTCCACTTCAAGGACAAGAAAATTTTGTGATTTATTAGGTCACCTAATAACTCAAAAATATGTTTTTAACCATTGTTGTTGTTTCTATCAACTGCCCTAAGTCTTTTGCAAGCAGCAGTAAAGTTCATGGCTAAAGACAACTTGACATTTAACCTATGGTTGGAATTTGCTCTTCAGCCTACTGTTTAGAGAATCAATTTCTTTTTTTTATTTTTGTTTTTATTATTTTATTTATTTATTTATTTTTTATTTTTTGACAGGCAGAGTGGACAGTGAGAGAGAGAGACAGAGAGAAAGGTCTTCCTTTGCCGTTGGTTCACCCTCCAATGGCCGCCGCGGCCAGCGCGCTGCGGCCGGCGCACCGCGCTGATCCGATGGCAGGATCCATGTACTTCTCCTGGTCTCCCATGGGGTGCAGGGCCCAAGCACCTGGGCCATCCTCCACTGCACTCCCTGGACACAGCAGAGAGCTGGCCTGGAAGAGGGGCGACCGGGACAGAATCCGCCGCCCTGACCGGGACTAGAACCCGGTGTGCCAGCACCGCAAGGCGGAGGATTAGTCTAGTGAGCCGCGGCGCCAGCAAGAGAGTCAATTTCCCCCTCAACCTTAGCAACAAAGAGCCCCCCAAGAGTTTTGCCTTGAAGAGGTATCTGGGTACCAATGCACCCTGGACACTGTTAAGATCCTCCCCAGAAAAGTCCTCATGACCCAGAAGCTTTCAATTGTGTGGGAATGACATGGTTAATACTCCTGCTATTATTTCAACAAAGAGAGAAATATTTTAATTTCAATTGATTTTTTATTTTAATTCATATGCTGCCATGTTCCTAACTTAGTCAACTAATTTTGATTTTTTTTTAATCTTATACCTATAGTGTTGCAATGCAAGGCTAATTGTAAGTCATCTGATAACTATGAGCCAAATAAACTATAGATTATCCAAGATGATACAAAATGAATGGGGATTTGGAATTACAGTACTGAATTAGAGGTTTTATCCACTGCTGTCATGTGACACCAAACGAGATGTGAAATATAGGAATAAAGTGCTTCAGTGAGAGTTCTGCTCGTGTCAGATGCATATGCACATGTGCGCGCAGACACACACATACATTTAAAAAACTGGCCTATCAAAATCAGAAAAGCAAAATGGGATGTTCTTAGATGAGAGCCTACCACATCGATGAGATGACTGAGATGTGTCTTCAACTTGGCTTGAACTTTTAATAAATCCCTCATCTCTTCAGTAATATATGACAAAAATGCCTCTGATAAATGATTGGCATTGCCTGGACCTACCAGTGCAGAATCTAACGTGAGCTCATAAGCAGATGTTGAAAGTAGCATGACAGGCAAAGTTCTGTCCAAGATGAGGTGTCTACTTACTTTGACAGAGCTGACAGAAAATTTGATATGTGCTTTCTCTAAGGGAAGGGAGAGGAAAAAAATAAGACCTGGCTGGTCTCATGTCTCCACCCTACTCTCCAACCCCTGTCTTCTTCAACTTCCTTTACCTTACAAGACATATTTGATAACTGCTCCTGGGGCCGGCATTGTGGCATAGCGGATTAAGCCACTGCCTTTGATGCCAGCACCCTATTAGGGCACCAGTTCATGTCCCTGCTGCACCACTTCTGATCCAACTTCCTGATAATGGACTGGAAGAGCCACAAAAGCTGTCTGAAGTACCTGGGCCCCTGCCACGCATGTGGGAGACTCAGAAGAAGCTGCTGACTCCTGGCTTCAGCCTGGCCATTGTGGCTATATGGGGAGTGAACCAGCAGATGGAAGATCAATCTCTCTCTCCTTTCACCCTCCCTCTCTCTCTGTAACTTTGCCTTTCAAATAAATAAATAAATAAATCTTTTTTTAAAAAGAAAATTGCTCCCAAGTTATACCAGTGGTAGAGTACTGACTTTACCCACCTTGGTTTTGCTAAAGACAGACCATTCTTCTGAGAGCAAGTGGTCATCTAAACAATTCTTGACCTTTAGACATTCGATGGTTAAAGAGAGAAAATGTTGCCTAGGAGTAGGAATCTGAGTTGTAGGCTTTGCTGTCTGTGACTCTAGAGATCATATTATTTCTCAATAGGATACTGCAGTTAAGTTTCAAGAGAACAACTTTTCATTAATTTCTACTTTCCCTTAGTGATAGGAGATATTTGCCCTTAGGGGATCTTTACTTATTTGGTAGTTTCTTTCAAAACATTTAGAAATCATTTGAGGCTATATGCTCTCTATTTGGTTGTTAATGGGTCATGAATTTTTACAGAGATGTTTTACTCATGGCTCATTTACCTCTAGATTGTACAAGGGTTAGAGAAATAAATACTTGGAAACCTTGTGCAAGGGTTCATTCCACAAAACACATAATCCCTTTCAGACTTTCAATGACGTTGTGTTCCTCATTTAAAGAGTATATTTTGAGAATATTTTGATGGCAACTTGGATCACTATCAAACTACAGCTTTCATTTTCTATAATATACTTCCCATGTGAATCTTCTACTCTTAAGCTGAGAGAGCCAGTTTCATGGCTTATTATCCTGTTGTCAGTAAATAGGATGGTTACAGTGCCAAATATTGTCAGAATGTTTCCAGAATGGATTCAAACACTGTTCACACAGCATCTGCAATGCTAGGTGACCTGTAAAGGGGGAACCTCAAGGCTAAACATGAAGTTATGGAATAAAATGTCAAGTCTTGCATGAAAGGGGTTTGTAATTTTAATTCTCACCATTATTTGTTGGCATGGCTAATTTGTGACTTTGAACCAGAAAACTGGATGACTTAATTTTTCTATTTACATCTAGCCTATGTATTTTTCAAATCATTACAGTTCAAATGAACTGGAAATTTTATACTCTCTCTGACTTTGGTTTGCAAAAAAAAGTGAATGACTATATGTTACAAATAAATTGCTCCTACTTAAGGATATGGCAAGACAATACTAAATGACTCTCCCATTGTATTTAGATATATGGTATCTTATCAGATGCCTGTTTGTCTATAAAGTTGTGTGACTGTTGTATTTGATAGCAATGGACTTCTGAGTACAATGAGCTGTATGTTATTCTTAGGGGGTATCCTATCACAATCCATCAGTAACGGATCCCACTCTCACTGCGGATGCTTTGGACAAAACAATTGCAGAATTTGATACTGTGGAAGATCTGCTTAAGCATTTCAATCCAGAGTCATGGCAAGAAGATCTTGAGAACTTGTACTTGGACACCCCTCATTATCGAGGCAGGTCATACCATGATCGCAAGTCAAAAGGTAAGAAACAAAAAATTAGGGATTTTTCAAAAGCAGATAGGAGTGTTAATGGTAATAAGTAAAGGTTAGCAATGTGGTCTATATAATTCACTAAAATCAGATGATTATTGTCAGTCCATTATTAAGGAATTTTCAAATTTCATAGTTTTGCCCAAACTATGTTATGTGTATGGCATTAAGCAAGGCTTGAACCAATCAAAAAGCTGTTGTACCTTGGAGCCAGAAGAGACCTTATAAAATCATCTGGACCGGTTCTGATCCATTATTATCCTGAATTTTATACAGGAGGCAAGACAAGTCTGTGGAGGTGAACAATTTGCCAAAGGCTCATGTACTTTGGAGATATATGATCCAAGGGAGAAAGGATGTAAGCCTGGCTGGGGTAGTTTGGAGGTATTTGAGAGCACATGTTCAATTGGAATTTTCAGGAAATTAGTAAGGATGGAGAAAGAAGCAGACAGTCATGAGGTAAACATAATATTTAATCGAACTCCTAAAATATTAGTATCCTAGTCATACGTCTGAGTGATAGGCTCTTGCAATGAAACAGTTTATTTGAATTCATAACGTCTCTAATTAATAGACAAATAACACTTAATCACCTCTTACTGAATAAAACTATAATTTATCATTGCTATTCTTGCTTCATTTGATGATTTTTGTCACCATTAATATTCTCACTACCTGTCTTGTCAGGCATCGCATCATTGATGTGAAGTGTTTAGCTGAGATATGGCTTGTTGGTGGTACCATCTAGATCTCTGGCACTTTTAGTTGTTCGGGAATGGTTGGTCAGCTGCAACTTCTTAGAAGTCTGAAATATGCATTCCTTGTCCTTTATTTACCTGAGATGCATCCCTGCCTTAAGCAAAGTTAGGAGTACTTGGGACATCACAGCACAGTCTGTTCTACTACAAGAGTATACTTCAAAAAGTCCATGGAGACTTGGATGAACAGGTAACTTCATTTTGGTGTAGAACATGTTTTAAATCAATGCACAGTTTCTTTATAAAATACATTTCCATGCCATTTTAAAGACCCCTATTATGCATAGATTCCAAAAAAATTTTGTGCCAAACTAAAATTATTTTCAAGACCTTTTCCAAGTACGCTTTTATTGTTATTGTTCCTTTGTGTTTTCTCAAAGGAGATATGAGATTCCAGGACCTCCTAAGGGTCTCAACTCTGGCTGAGTTTTTAAAAATTACTGGGAGAACGTAGAAAATCACAGTTGTCAAGACCCCAACAGACACATTGATGCAGGATCTCTGGGGGTGGGCAGGGGTCTTCATGTAATTTTATGACTCCTCTGAAATCAGTCCTTAGAAGCAGCCAGGGTTGAGAATCACTGTTTTAGAGATTGTTCATGCTGTAACTCCAGCACTTGGCAGTGTCCCACACACACTTTTAGATGTGTTGTCGCTCCCCGTCTTCGTGGAGGAATGACACAGGACCCTGCGCTGTTCTTTCGTCTGCTCGGCCCTCCCCGGGTTTGCTGCTGGTTCTTCCCGGGTTGGCTACCATCCCTTCCACCTCCGTGGAAGGGCGGTTCCCCCTGCCACTTTCCCCACTTCCGCGGGGGAGCGGCACACCGCCGGCCGGCTCTCTCGGGGGCTGCACAGGTGTTCCTTCAGATAGATGTTCCTGGTGCATGTTGTCTCTCTCCTCCTTTATAGTCCTCTTCTGCCAATCCCAACTCGGCTGCCCACACGCCGAGTACGCTGCTCTCCTCCAATCAGGAGCAGGATCAGCTCCTGGAGGTCATCACTCAAGTTGGCAAGAGGCAGCTGCGTAGAAGCTGTTTCCTCCTCTCCCAGCGCCATATTGTGGGAGAGCAGATGCATAGAATAAGTCTTAATTCCAGTAACTTAGTCTAGTCCGAGTTGCTCCCCACAATGTGTGATTAATATTTGTGAAATTAAAGAAATTATTAATCCGGCATCAGTATATTTCTAAAGAAACTCACCCCACAGATAGGAGTGTAGGTTTATTAAGAATGCCTTTGGTTACTAAAATAACCTTGTAAGAGCATTGGAGACAAGGTACTGCTTGATGTTTGTGACAGAGTAAACATCAGTTCTCTCCCCTATTGGCTTAGGTTCCATTTCTTAATCTCTTGTTTAAAGTGGCCCTAAGGCATATTTGTTCCATTTCATTTCCCCTGCCAAGTCACCACTGTCTTTGCATTTGTATAAATGCACTGATTTCCTTGTTTGTTGTTCCAAGAATGCTGAACCACCTGCATGTGTCACAAAAGCAAGGAAAGTCTGCCTTAATATTTCAGCTGCTTTTAGAATTTAAGACCACAAATGCATGGCTTACATCCTGATATGTGAGGAAGGGAGCAGTGAATAAAAATCAAAACAGGAAAATATATAATGGATAATGGAAGCCCACAGGTATTAAATAAAACATTAACTTTCTAAGACCTCCAAACAAGTCTTCTCTCATCAGTATCATAATTTCTGTGGTGTAGAAATATGCTTGTCATTTTTGAACTTTAATTGAGAATCCATTCTTTCGATTTTCCTAGACAGATAGCAAGTGACATTGTTTTATGATTCTGAAGTGCAGGATTCTAAGATTCTAAGATAACATTTGAATGTAAATATGCAAAACAGAGTTTTATAGACAAACACAAACATTCTGGGTGGAGTACTATGTGATAAAACAACAATAGTTAATATTTTAAATAGTTAATATTTTAAAATTAAATATTATGTTTTGCTTCCACATTATATGTGGTAGGCAGTGATAGTGAGGTTTTAGTTCTCTTCAAGAAGACCTGGAAATGGACAGCAAGAATAAAATGAAAGTTTGGGGAGAAGAGAAAAAGAGAAAAGGGAGACAGATAGCAGTGTTGAAACGAGGAGTTTGATGCATGAAGTCTTTTTGCTAAAAAATCCATGAGTAAGAGATAAGCTCAGCCTTGTCAGTGAAAGCTTCTGGACTGAAGATAATACAACAAGTTAATATAACCAGCTTTCTGTTTCCTAGGGGGTGGCATATATAATTGAAATCTGTAGATAATATAGTTCCAAACCCAATTTTTACCAATAATTTTAGCCTTCTTCTTTCAATGTCAAAGATGCTCAAAAGTTAAAAAAAAGTTTTCAGTTCATTTTATTAACTTTTCTCTGATGTATATGCAAATGTGTCCAAAATTGAGTAAAATTACACGGCTGTACCTTCTATAAGCTACATAATTACCACCTAAATTATTACATGACTACTGCAGTTCAGTTAAAACTAATTTATAATTCATTTAAAAGATATCATCTATGAAGTTAGGAATAGTGTATATTTATTAAAGTTTATAACATAAACTTAACCTTTCTAAATTAAGAAATGATCAGCCCCAAGCTCTATTAGACTGGACACTGAGAGATGATTTGTGAGATTAACAAAGTAAGTAAAATCTTTTTTTCTTATTTGAGGAGAACTTGAGTTTCCAGAACTGTAATGTGTTAACCAAGGAAAAATCCAACACATAATGGCAAGGCGAGAAGCCTGTTTTCATCATTTAAATGTGATTAGAATATGAACAATGGAGCTGACATTAGGCATAGCAATGTGTCTTGGGACATTCATATCGCATATAGGAGTGCCTAGGTTCAAGTTCAGCTTTCCACCAATGCACACCTTGGATAAAGCAGGTGATGGCCCAAACAGTTGGACCTCTGCCACCCACATGGCAGATCCACACTGAATTTCCAGTTCCCAGCTTCAGCCTGGGCTACTGCTACTATCTGGGGAGTGAAACAGTGGGTAGGAGATCTCTGTGTCTCTCATTGCTTATTTTCTCTCTGTGTGTGTCTTTTTTTTAAATATTAAATGTTTATTTATTGTTGTATCACTAAACTCTAATATACTATATCATCACAAATAAATAAATAAGGTTTTGTTGAATGAATTAATGAATAATCTTTGACAAATCAAATAATATTTGAAACCATAATCACCCCCCCACTCAAGTTTCAAATTATTTTTTTGAAATTTACTCATTGAGAAATTTAAGATATTGATGTCATCAAATGGTACAAAATTTGCAACTACAGGTGCTCCATGATTTATGAAGGCATGTGTCCTAAAAATATCTGTCTTAGGTTGAAATTATCATTGTCAAAAATGGACTACTACCTCTACCCTACCAAACATGCCATCTTCACAACACTGCAGAGCGCTGGTTGTTCCCCCTGTGATCACAGCTGACTGGGATCATTGCTTGTAGCAGCTGCCCAGCATCACAAGAAGAGTATTGGAATGGGGAAAGATCAAAATTAAAAATGTGAAGCACAATTTCTACTGAATAAGTGTTACTTTCAAACCATTGAAAAATTAAAAAAAAATTGTAAGTGGAACATAACAAGGGATCATCTGTAATTGAGATACTACACATAATTTTTGCATGTCAATTTCAATGGCTCCTTACAGTTTATCTTTTAGGCTATACATCCTAGATTTAGATAAAACTTATTCATCTGTTTCTGGTAATACTGTTTTAAAAATATTTTACTATCAATAATTGTACATATTTATGGGCTACAGTGTGATATTTTAATAACAGTGTACACTGATCAAATCAGGGCAATCAGCATTTCCCTGCCTTTGACACTAATTTATAATTGGAAGGTTGGAGCTTTTTTCTTCTTTTTGGTCATACCATATCTACTAAGTATTGTAGAATATAAAATTTCTCCATTATGCTGTGTAGTACTGGGATCTTATCCTTTCAATCTTACACTGATTTGGTAACCATTATCAAAACTGCCTCTATCCCCCTCCCTATTCCTATGAATCAGTGTTCTCAACATTTTGTGTTCAGATTGAAGCTTTTTGTTTCTTTGTTTTGTTTTAGCTTCCACTTATAAAAGAGAACATACAACATTTTTCTTGCTGTGTCTGGATTATTTCACTCAAGAAGATATCTTCTAGTTCTATTGATATTGCTGCAAATGACACAATTTCATTCTTTTATGACTGAATAGTATTCTATGGTGAATATTTACATGACATTCTCTATATGCATTCATCTAATGATGAACACCTTGATGGATTCCATATCTTGTCCATTGTGTACAGTGCTTCAGTAAACATGGAGAAATGATATGTCTTTGATAACAATGATTTCATGACTTTTGGATTTATTTCAAGCAGTAGGATTACTGGATCATGTAGCTGTTCTTATTGTAATGTTATTATGAAAACTTCATGCTGTTTTCTATAGCGGCTATACTAATTTATATCCCCACAATCTGTGTTTAAGAATTCCACTTTCTCTACATACTCACCAGCATTTGTTACATACTGCCTTCAAATAAATAAAAATTTTAAGTGGAGTAAAATGTAATAAAAGTTCAGGGCATTTAAATTAATAAAGTTGCACTATTACTAAAAATCTATTTTTCCAAAGTATTGCCCTTTTAGTTATACATTCCAAAATTACATGTGTTATATCTTAATGTTAGCCGTCGCAAAGCACACTGGACACCAGAGTAAGGGAAAGGGTTTATTGGGGAACACCCTACAGACCAGAGTGAAGGGGCGGCGAAGGAAAAAGAGAGAAGGAGACTATAAGAGAGACAGACAGAGGAGGGAGAAGAGAGAGGAGAGAAGCCAAGAGAGGCCAAGAGAGCACGGGAGAGAAGGACCGAGAGAGCACGTGTGCAGGAACAGGCCCTCTTAAAACTTTGCCTGAGGGTGGGCAGGGAAGCAGGAGCATCGAATCCCATTAGGATGGGGGTGGACCCTGGCTCAGGTAGCTGGGCCATGTGGCCACCTGGCTACAACTGCGCCAGTTTCCTAACATTCCCCCCTTTTGTTTTTTATAAAGCAAGGTTTGTATGGGATTACATTAGTCCCAAAAGTCCAAGAGGGGTAGAGGGACGATGATCCGTCTTTAGAGCTACTTCCTGCTGACATGGGGCGATGATGTACTCTTCGCTGGCATGGGGCGATGTCTCAAGTTGCTGTCTCCTGGGTGGGGAGCCGAGTATATCCCTGTAGCAGCATTTGGTTGACCGCCTGGTTGTTGAAGGCCTTTGTTTGTTCCATTATAGCCTGCTATAAACACTTAGACACTGTAGTATAAAAGACAGGGTGAGAACAGTAACCAATGATCCTAAGAGCATTAACCAGGTAATAAGAGGATTTTATAGAGAGGAAATGGAGGGGGTCTCTGGACCTTGTGGGGAAAGTTTGATGGATGTAGCTTAAAGCTGATTCTAGCCAAGACTGGGAGAAAGGCCACTAACTTTTGCAGGTAGTAGGGTTTGTCTGTAGAGAAATTCTGAACAATCATACAACATGAAGTGGGGAAGAGGACCATCAGTTCACACAGCTTGGGAGTAGAGCCATTGGTGGTAGAGTAGAGGCTATGATTACAAAGGAATGATGCTCAAGTGGGCTAGATACAGAGGACAGAGTTGTTATTAGAGAACCTAAGAAAGGTGCTATCTGAGCTACAATTAAGTTTTCTGATTGAGAGGCAAATAGAACCTGACAGAAGGGGCTTGATAATAATCAGGTGGGCTTTAAAGCCTTGTAAATTATGAGGCCCAGACGTATCTATCTCTTCATGGGGTACATCCTACAGGAGGTGTGAACCTCCTTGGGGAAGGCACCCTGTTGAGTTCCATTACCTAGCTGGCCTGGGAGGAGAGCTGGCTAGGTAAAGGCAAGTGGCAACTCCAACAGGAAATATACAGCTCTGCCTGCAATGTTACTGACCCTACTTGGCCATTTCCTCAGTTGCAGTGGTCACTTTGAAAGCTGGGCCAAGTGAAGGGCTTTTCGGCTTAGAGCCAATAAGATCTGTGGTTCTGACCTGGGCATCCTTCGACTCCAGGGCAGGTCCATTTCCAGTGATCCAACTCTTGGCAGAGCTGCCAGGGCTCTTCACAAGCTGACCTCTGCTGAAGCCCAGGCTTTCCACACTGAAAGCTACTGCAGTAGACTGGCCTGTTGGGTCTCCTTGAGGGCAGATCACTGTACAGAACAGCCATTAATAGGCCTGCCACCCACTGCTTCTGATGCCTAGCTTTCTTTTCCTCCTGGTTTTTGTTAAAGCAGACCAGAGGATGCAAGTCAAGGGGGTGCTCAAGTCCCATCTCTAATCTTCAGTGGCCTAAACTAGAAGTCTGTAGTCACAGGCATGTTCTGTAGTAGTTTATGTTGAGGCAGACAATGCCCATGAGGAAATCTATATTCTCACTTTAAAACTTTCTTTCCCTTTGTTCTGAAAGGGAGGCTTTCCTGTATACTGTTTACCTTGCTGATGGCGAAGTAAATCTAACTAAGAAATTATAATTTAAGCTCTTATTTTGGCTATGCTATTACAGAAAAATGTTAGCCATCTCTTTTGTAAAATCTAAAATCAAATTTTGAATCTTGGAGATTCCTTCATAATAGAATTAGTTTCCTACCTAGAAGAGAACAGAGAAATGAAAGAACAAGTTGGGCTTAGAATAGAGAAATGGGGGAGCAAGTCCCAGATCTCTTACTGACAACAGCAATATCACATGAAAACTTAGAAAGCAGTTTTAACCATTAGATAACAACTTAAGAAAACATTTACCAGAAGGTCCAATGCCTTCTATAAATATTAAGAATACGTATATTTGGAAATATCTCTTAAATATCTAACATGGTGTAGCTTGTTTAACCAGCAAATTTCAGCACAAGCATATAAAATGTTTCTAGTTTTTTCTACCAACACATTTAAAGCATATGATACAGAGATTCAGGTCACACGAATTAAAATGTATCTTTGATTAATTTTAGCAGCTTAAATTTATGGGCAATCTTTTATCTATAAGCCAATTAAAATAAAACTCTTAAATTTTCCCATATAGACATACAGTATGTATACACATATAACATAACATAATAGACCAATGTAGCAGTTTTAATAGTTTTTTTTTTTAAATCTAACTTCTGTTTGTAAATTACCAATTCATTTGAATTGCTTTTTGTTTTAGTAACCTCAGCTAACCATACTTTCTCACAGTTGGTACCTTTAATATATTATTGGCTTCATCTGGTTACAGAGTCATCCCAAAGTACTAAATACAATACATGTGGCTGGAAAAATTCCATCAGAACCTATAGGAGGACAGCTAAACACAGAACGAACAATGCTTTAGTTTTATAAGCAGCAAGTCTGATATACAAAACTGTGGGTGACAAAAGACTTTAAGTTGCCACATTTAAAATTATAAACTCATCAATCAACAAGAGGCACTTGCTTACTTCACACAGTATTTTGAGAGCACCTGTAGGATTTTACAAAGTATTTAACTCTTTTAGGCCTCTGAGGCTTTCTCATTAAAATAACCATCATGTCTAGTAACACAAGAATATTAGACTTTTTTTTTTTTGACAGGCAGAGTGGACAGTGAGAGAGACAGAGAGAAAGGTCTTCCTTTGCTGTTGGTTCACCCTCCAATGGCCGCCGTGGCCAGCGCGCTGCAGCCAGCGCACCACGCTGATCCGATGGCAGGAGCCAGGTGCTTCTCCTGGTCTCCCATGGGATGCAGGGCCCAAGCACTTGGGTCATCCTCCACTGCATTCCCTGGCCACAGCAGAGAGCTGGCCTGGAAGAGGGGCAACCAGGACAGAATCTGGCACCCCGACTGGGACAAGAACCCGGTGTGCCGGGGCCGCAAGGCGGAGGATTAGCCTAGTGAGCCATGGTGCCAGCCAAGATTATTAGACTTTTTAATTTTCAGACATTTGTATAAGTGCCATTTTATATTATAGAAACTTAAAATTTAGCACCGCTTCACATCTTGACAGTACTTCTAATATAATCCAAATAGCCTGATTAGTTGGTGTCTCAACAAGATAAGAGACATAGGTCCTTCGATTTTTTCAGTTGGGCCCGAACTGGAAAAACCGAAGTCCAAAATTTACAGGAAATTTCAGAGTCCAAATTCTTTGAAACTTTGATTTTTGATTTTTTGAATGCCTGTCAAGAATGTCAAGAAGGCTCAAAATCCAAAATATCTGGTTGAAGTAAGATTCTTTAACATCATAACATAATATAGACCAAATTTGATCATTGTTACAAGGTAATTATTTAAATGTTTGAAAATAAGCACATATTTAAATAACCCATAGCTCTTAATAAAAATTCAGCTGTTTTTAAACAATTAGAATTTAACAGACATCAAGAGAATATATCACTTTAACTCATTGCTTTAACAGAGAATCAGATTTTAATTTTACAATAAAGAGGAATAGATTAGTATACTTGTGGTGTTTTCATCTGCCAATGTCCTTGATTTAATTTTGAAATAACCCATTAAAAATTTTCAGAGTAAGATTAAGGTAACACATCAAATTTCAGCCTGAGTTACTTTAAACAGTGTTGAACTATTTTCACAGTTTATAAACTAACCCAAATAGTTTTTTATAGACTATAACATGTTGAGTATACAAAAGTTTTACCCAATTTAAATTAGCAGTTACACCTAAATGACTTAGGATGCTGATATATTTTTATCTGAATTTAATTGAAATTAAAATTGCATTCATCTAAGACAAGTACTAATTACCCATTGCTGTTTCATTGAGTACTGATTACCCAGAAACCTGTTAAAATAAATTGCAAAATAAATTCAGCATTTTACAAAGCAGTAGTTTCAAAGGTAGTGGTATCCTAGATTTAAAGAAAAATTACAGTGAGCCAGGTCCACGGAGGAAATCTGATTTTCCTGTCTGGCTTGCTCATGATAAAACAAAAGAGCCCTCAGAATGGTGGGATACCTAATTTGTTTCTCAATAAGCAGGGAGCCCAAAAGGATGGGACTACCCTTCCCTTGCTATTCTTATGGTAAGACTGGGACAAGAGAGGGACAAAAGACCAGTTGGAGACCATGGAGACTGCCATTCCCAAACCGATAAGACAGAGATAGTACACTTTGGGCCAGGACTGGTTCTAAGGTGGGAGGGGGAGATATCCTTTGAGTGGGGGTAGGAGCTAGGGAGGAAGTACACGTGGGCAGAGAATGGCTTTGAGGAATAGATAAGCAAGGGGCTTGAGAGAAGATGGAAGAGATTGCAGTGGTGGTGGGAGTAGAGGTTGACCCCGCCCCCTGGAATTCGGCAGGAGGGGGAGGTGAGGACGCAGCTGCTGCATGGGGGATAATGGCGCTGGAGCTTCAGCTGCTGAGGCCTCAGGAGGCGGCTGAGCCAGTGCCTGTAGATTGGAGCGATAAGGAGGTTCATCTGCAGGATCAAAGGAGGTTGTGGTAATGGCGGGAACAGGATTGGGGCAGAAGAGAGGATTTTTTGCTCAGGCTTCTGCCCCCTAGTGCGAATCTTGGAGACCAGAAGTACACAGGGAAGGCTTAGTTCAAAGATAGGAAAAGGCTTGAACATATGGAATCTCCTTCCATTTTCCTGAACGCTCACGGAAGTGATAAGATGTTACCAGGGTCAAACTACTCCGACTTCCGATCCCTCAGGGCCAAATGCACCACCATGGAGGGGCTGCTTTTTGAGGGCTGGGGCCAATTTGAGAGGGACCATCAGACAGAACGCGGTTAGAGAAACGTTCCCATTGCAACCTGTAGAGTCAGATCCGTGGATTGCAAGCGTCCTCGCATCCTGACTAGTGAGAGAATATGGGAACAGAAGGCAGGGTCATCACCCAAGTGCCCACTGGAGCCCAGGGCCTTGCCTGTAAAGAGGCGAACAGAGATGGAGTTGTCACTCGCACCCACTGTTGCTGGGACACAGTGTCCATAGAGGCTAAAGGCCTTAAGTAGGAGTTGTGGTGTCTAGCACTACGACCTTAGACTTGAGTAGAAAAGCCTCAGACGAATGTAGACGAGAGTAGACAACAACTCAGTAGACAAGTAGAATTGCCGTGAGAGCTTCCTGTTCTGTGTCTTACCTCAAAATTTGGAAGGTCAATGTGGGGATGGAGATTGTAGAGCATTTGGTGGCTTGGAAAGAGTTCCGGAGGTGTGCTTTGTGACTGGCAGAAATCCAGGACCCCAGAGCACTGGGGGACACTGGATTACCAATATGAGGCTATCCAACTCACAGCACCAATGTTATATCTTAATGTTAGCCATTGCAAAGCACACCGGACACTGGAGTAAAGGAAAGGGTTTATTGGGGAACACTCTACAGACCAGAGTGAAGGGGCGGCGAAGGAAAAAGAGAGAAGGAGACTATAAGAGAGACAGACAGAGGAGGGAGAAGAGAGAGGAGAGAAGCCAAGAGAGGCCAAGAGAGGCCAAGAGAAGCAGGAGCAGCAAATCCCATTAGGATGGGGGTGGAGCCTGGCTCAGGTAGCTGGGCTATGTGGCCACCTGGCTACAACTGCACCAGTTTCCTAACAACATGCACTCCTCTTTTAAAAAAATCAGATTTTAATATCAATTGCTGTAAATACCTTGATATTAAATTAATTCCAGATGATGGATTTCACATACTTGATTTTACATACTCTAAGTAGATAGATATTATTATTCTGGGACAGTTACAAGTCAGTATCCAAAGATCTAATATCAATTCTGTAGAAATTATAGGCTAGAAAAACTGGTAAGAAACTGAGAAATTAATGAAATGTTTCCTATCAAGATATTTAAATTGTTTCTGAATCTCGTGTCAGAATACTTTTGATAAATGTATTGATCATATACAGCTATTTCTCTATCCTGCCACTTCATGCTTGCCAATAGGCTGCAAGTTTTGCTTTTCCAGAAAGGATTTAGAATATAGGAAATAATTTCAAGATGTATTCAGAAGTATTTAAGAAACTGAGTGCTTGCAACCTTCTCTGTCTGATACTTCTTCAGTGAGAATTTGAAGAAAGTCTTTGACTCATACAAGTGATTTATCAGTCTTGAGTTATCAGTCCTCTGTGAAAATTGAGCAGAGATACTGAGTACATCAAATAAAAATGGAAGTTTTTCTAATATCTTCTTTTTAAAAAAATATTTATTTGAGAGAGAGTTGCAGACAGAGAGTAGGAGAGTCAGAGAGATAGAGAGAGGTCTTCCACGTGCTGGTTCATTCCCCAAATGGCCAATGGCTGGAGCTGAGGCGATCCAGCTCCAGGAGTCAGGGCCACCTTTGGGGTCTCCCACATGGGTGCAGGGGCGCAAGTGCTTGGGCCTTCTTCTGCTGCTTTCCCAAACTATAGCAGAGAGTTAAATTGGGAGAGGAGCAGCTGGGACACAAACCTGCGCCCAAATGGAATGCTGACACTGTAGACAGAGGTTTAGTCAATCATACCATAGCACCAATCACCCTAATATCTGTTTTTGAAGGTGATGAGGTTCTTTGAATATCTAGTACCAGGTGGTATGCACCAAGTAGAAGTTTTAGCAATATTAAAATTGTTTACCATAAATCTGATAGAAATATGAGAGGACTTCAAAAAGTTCATGTAAAATCAAAATCAAAAATAATTTTATATTGGCCCAAAATATTTTAAATCCATCCATAGGTATTTTTCATAATACACATTTTTCATGAGCCTTTTGAAGGCCTATCATAGTGCAAAAGAGGAATTTTTTTATTTTTATATTTATTTATTTTTCCTGAGAAAGGCATGGGCTTTAGAATCTAGCAAACATGATAAAATTCTAATTCAAATCCTAAAAGCAGTAACTTTTGGTGTAGTCACTGAAGGCCCTTGATTCTTTGTTTTCTGCATTTTTCAAAATGGCTGTAGTCATAACTATTTTGCCAAGTTCTATTGGGATTAGATAGCAGCAGAAAATCCAACATCTGGTGTGCCCTCAGTACATGATAGCTACTATTATTAATTGAATTGCATACAAAACTCTTCACAGAATCAAGATATTTCTGTGAATTCCTCTGCTGTCTTCCCTATGAGGCTCTAAGATAATCATTAGAAATCTGGAGAGCCTCATACATAATATCCAAATATTGTCATATCTAAGCATCTATAATCATCGCACTCATTAAAAGTTTAAATATAATTGCCGAGTCCTAAACATTTCTATGATTCTGTTTACCCAGAAACTTTCTGGCAGTGTTTTGCTCTGTGAATGTTTCCTCTGCTTAGCTTTATTTTTTTAGATTTAGCCACTGTTTATAACCGAGGCAATGTGTGAGTATCTGGATTCCCCATTCACTCACTTTGCCAGTAAGCATTTATAAAAGCCATGTTGTTGTTTATCTTTTGGGGGTTTTGTTTTGTTTTGTTTTTTAATTTTATTAAAGGCATAAAAACTTCATGTATTTCCTGTGTACAAATTTAGGAACATGGTGATACTTCCCACCCTAACTTCCTTCCCAACCCTACTCCTAACTTTCTTCCTTCTCTCTCTCCCTTCCCACTCTTAATTTTTACAAAGGTTTGTTTTTAGTTTCCTTTATACTCA